GAAACACAATTCATTGGATTCAAGCCCTTCTTGAAAGAAGTCCTCTAACTAGATCAGCAAAGTACGTAGCATCGCTCAATTGATTCTATAACTCACCATAGCAAGGTAAGCAACTCTGTCTGAGTCGTTACTAACAACCGAGAAGCTAGTCTCTCAGCTGATATCTCATCGGATCATGCAGCTCCTGATCAAGTCATAGAAAGAAGGAAGTCCGAACTCAAAGCCAGTGTCTGAGCCAGCTGTCCTTAGTAGACTGGAAGCCAGATAAGGAAGTCTGGTCTAGCTCTCGAAAGTGGAAGGCAGAAAAAGGATAGCTGAAAGTGGGGAAAGTAGGGATACTCACATTGATTTACAACCAAAAATCCTATCTTGAAAATGACATCTTCGTGAAATAGAGAAAGTCGCCCCGTCTCCAACTGAGGTCTTCTCGCCCGCTGCCAGGAAGATTCGATCCCAACGACCGCCTCGCAAGACCTCTGTACTTTTTTCTTGCCTTTCCTTATTTGAATTTCAGGAAATCCACTTCTTTACTAGAGAGAACTCGATTTGAAGCTTTCATTCCTCTTAGGGTGGTTTGCTTTCTCTTTATTTAGCTATTGGGCAAAAAGAGTTCGCTACCTTTCTGCGTCAATCTTGTTTTCGGGGGGTTCGTAAGCTGCAAGAAAGGAGAGAGAGGCAGGCTATCTCTTTTTTGAAGTTGGTGCTTGTGTTTGGTCGTCCAGTTCTTCCGGGAGGAAAGGGGCATTCTTCACTCCTTCGCGACGCCTCTATGTATACATAAGGGGCGGACTAAGGGCCCATTGGTTCTACCTTCTTTTCTTTGTCGGCGACAAGGGATCTCTCAACCCCCGCTAAGCATCCATAGCTAAATGGTTCAACATTTGACTTTCCAAATGGTTCAACATTTGAAGTTCTTTCCTTGGTCTTCATTCAGTGAAAGGAGTGAAGCTTTCCGCAGCTGGAAAGCGGAGACCCACGAAGGCGCTATTCGATAATGTCTGTCTAGCAAACCCCCAGCTAACCCGAGTGAAGATTCAAATATTTGTCCTACATTCATTCGGGAAGGTACTCCTAAAGGGTTGAAGACCATATCAACAGGTCTTCCATCTTGCAAATAAGGCATATCTTGTCTAGGCAATAGAGGTACAACAAAAGGGTTGGGGGCAATGAAGTAGGTGAAGTGGTTGGATTTTGCGAGCTGTTCCCACCACTGTTGGATGTGATTCCAAGAGCCGAACGAGAATGAATACCACATAGAAAAGTCAAGACCAGGCTCCCTAATGGAATGTTTAACCGATCCATTCCGGATCGACCGAATTGGTACAGAATAGGAGCAGAGCGGAGAATCTTTTTTGATTCCAGCCGAGAAGACTAGTAAAAGGAAGGATCAAGAATGTTATATATTTCAGGAGCTAGATCAGTTGCCGATGAACAAGTCAGAATTGCCTCAACAAAAAAAGATGGAATTGGGCCTAAAAAATCCATTCTGGTTCGTTATCGATTAGGTATCAGTGGGAACATAAAGATAAAAGAATTAACTAAGTATCAGATCGACCAAATTGAACAAATGATAGGTCAAGATTTATCTTTCAGATCGACCAAATTGAACAAATCATCGCTTTTGGCTTAGTAAGCTCTTCTTTCTCTTTCAGGCACTGTACCTCAGCAAAGGACGCGATGAAGGAGTCACCATCTGTCACATGGGTGATCAGGGCATACATTGTTCTTTCATCAGTGCAGTCAGATTGGATCTGAGGCAGAATGGATAGATAGAGTCTGGTTTCGCCAGGCGCTCCTGTCCCTTTCCCGAGAGGATGGCTCCCCCCTTGGGCTAACTCAATGACCCCACCCACTTGTCGTTCCTACCCGACCTTACTTCTGAAGACGAATAACTCATTATCGATAAGAGAAATTCATGATCCGAGCATTAGGATAGAGTAAAGCACACAAGCAACTAAGACAGAAGGAACTGGAACAAGGTTTACTCAACTCATCTCGACACGCATCTTGACTCAACTAGACTCGTGACAACCTATATAAAATTTTTTTAGGTTATTTAATGAAAATAAATTATCTGATTCATTGAACACTATCTCTTCGCCTACGGTGCCACTTGTCGTTCAGGAAGTCAATTTCCTTTTGGGGGGAAGATAGTTTGAGCTTCCTTTCCCTTTTGCCTCGAATGACTGCTTTAAAGTCAATTGTGATAGAGCTCTTTGAAAGGAGGTTAAGGCATCTGGATTAGGTGTAGGACTAAGGGACTGAATTGGCACCATCTTTTCAGCTATGTCAAAGAGTCATTTCCACGCCACGGATGCTGGAGTTGTCTAAGCCTGGCCTGTCTACTATGGAATGAAGCTAGCATTGGAAGCTTTCTTTTACCGAATAGATGTGGAGACAGGCAGTGCAATGTGGGAGCCGTGCTCCAACAAGACCCGAGCCTAGCATTGGACACATTGTGGATGATATTCAAGCTATAATTTATTTTTTTTAAGTTTTTAATTGAATGCGGATACTCATAAGAATGGTAAGAGGGTGGCACATCAATTAGCTAAACAATCCATTTAATCATCAGGGATGGGGAAAATATGGTTATAGGAGATTTCGGAATCTAATAAGCAGTCCTTCTGTGTAAAGTTAGCTAGTGTGGATTCACGGAAACTCTTAATATTATCGGGCACAACAAACAACCAGAAGCCATATCTTTCGTCGCTTGCTGCCAAACAACCTATTGCTATTGACAAGAGTCGGTCAATGCCATTCAATGTCCAGCCAATAACCAATTAAGGAAGCAAGCCGAATCCTTATATACGAGAGAATAAAGGGATCATAGCGGTGAAGGAGGACGACCGGAGAGAGGAGCTTACGAAAATAAGCTACTAAAAGCGATGAGGGCAGCATGTCTTTACTGGGGAAAGCTGCCAAATCATTCATATTATCGGAAGCTCTTGTCAAAGGATTTTACCTCTGTTGGACCTAAAGCTTTCAAATCGGAACCTGAAAGGTAAGGCGCGTTGGTTAAGTATCTCATTCCACAAAATTTGCACAAATCTCTTAAGACATGAGAATAGGAAGGCGTATACCTTATGTACTTTTTATTAGCCGGTGTGTTGATGATCCTCGTGTTAGAATTTCTATCTATTAGTTGATGATCGAGCTCTTTATGATTGAATGAAGTGAAAGATCAAACTCAAAGGGCTCTCCCTTTATCGTCATCGTCGCTATCATAGTTGCTATCATCGTCGCTAAAGCTCCTCCACTTTCCTCCTTCCTTTGCTAACTCTCCTCCCTTTGACCAAAAACACAAAAGACGGTGCATGAGGGAGAGAAAGATGTTGCTCTCATACCAGATGCTTTGAGCAAACTAGCCTATCTCTCGGCAGGATGGTGTGCCCAATGTCATTTCATTCGAGGCGGGATCGGAGTAAGGGACGAAGTCTCGAGCATCGGTACTCGCAGCCTTTAGGTTTAGGTAATCGTCAGATTTCCTAAGCCGATAGGCCTTCACGCCCCGACCCTCAGATGCGGGGTTCATTGAGCAAAGGAGTCGGCAGATGTTACATTATTTTAGACTCCACCTTCGCGAAACTACTAAAGAGAAGGCTAACAGTCTTTAGCGCAGATTATTAGGGATTTCCCAACGGAAAGGCTTTGTCGAACCCTCTTACGTTAACCTACCTTCTTGCCAGCGAAATCAAATTTTTTTGAGGTCGCACATTCAATGTCTGCTCTAGAGCCGACTTATTCGGGCATTTCCAACACTGTGAATAGAAAGAGATTTTTACCCTTCTCTCTCCCCATATCTGTCTGTTTCGACCAAGCGAATAAAGTCGGTGGCTGCTGCTCTACTATATAAGTACCGTGCGTGAGGAAAGGATCTCGCATGGTAAAGCATCTCGATGCTCAATAGCCGTAGTTGACTATAGACCTTGACGAGTTACTTGTCATCACCCGGAAATCACAAATCTTTACCAAGTGCCAGCGTAGTCCAGGCGAACTCAATAATCCGATTTGAAAAACTGTGCCCAGCCAGCCTATCCCAGATCGGGTCATCAGGTGATCATATATCTTTGCGCCGCCAATATGTCCTGGGGCGTGGGCTTCCTCGAGAACCTGCTGCACATCCGGATGGAGAGGATGGCCATTATAGCCCTTCCTGTAAAGTTCTCCTTGCTTAGCAAAGAAGCGAAATGCCCTTTTCTTTATTCCAACTACATCTTTTGTTTCAGAGGGGAGGATTTTTTGATCCAGAAAATAAATACAATCAATATAGGGCTTTCTCCAGTCTTCATAATATAATGCTCTAAGGCAGATTCTACTGGACATGGGTAGAATTGACATTGGAGGCAAGTTTTCTTCAATTTGTTGGCTTCCTCCAATACTGCAGCTGAGAGTTCTGCTCTGATGGAGGTGCATATTCATATTCTCCACGCGAAGAAAGCGCCTACCCTGGTTGAACTTAACTGCCTCGATCCTCATCTCGTTCACTCACAGAAGACCTTGCCTAGCTCTCTACTTTCTTTCTTATACCAGGAAGCCTTTCGCTTGTCCCTTCGCACGTGAATCTTGATATCCCGGCTAGAGAGCTTTGATTTTTTCTTTCCTTGGGGTTCCTTCCCTCACTTGTTACTAGCATCTCTTACTTTACACCTGAGAACAACCTATTCTTTTCACAGTGGAAGAGTCGAAACGAAGACCGCAGAAAGCATAGTCAGAAGCCGCATCGGCAGTTCGTGTTGACGGCGTTAACAAAATCGGAGAATAAGAGCTTAACGCAGCTCGACCCTCAGGAACAGATTCATAGGACCGATATCTCGGCTCATATCGGCCATTTTAAGCCAACTAATCGGCCAAGAGCGTTTCTTTTGAATTGGCACTGGACTGACATCTGGAAAGCTTATGACATGGTGAGATGGTGCTCTAAAGTTGAGCAACAGCAACTTTCCTTCTAAGTTGATTGTATCTTCACATGCCTGATAACTACAAAGAAAGAAAGTACTCTAACTAATGGTCTTCTTGAGAGGGTTGGATGGCCATAGAGGCAAAAGGCAAGGATTCCATTCGTCTTTTTTTGTCCTAGTCATGGAGGTTCTGATCATTGCCCTTGTATTGTTAGATCTAGCATTTAGTTTAGAAAGGTCAATATACCCTTTAAGTTCTTTCATTTCTGGGCGAAGGTTGAGGAATTTTTCAGGTATACCCACATCAAGATGTTCCTGAACAGTCTCGGGGAAGGCCACCAGCACCCCGACGAATGTCCCGTGGCAGCACCATGCAAGTCTTTGTTCCTCTTAGAAGCACCATCCTTATTTTTTTTATTTGAATGGAAGGAAATTCCCAAGCAAGAAACTTGGTTACCTGCATACTTGGCTCCGTTTTCTTCGAATAGAAAGCAGAGACATCTTGGTGGGCCCAGACAACGTCCTAGGCGTAGGGGAGATCGGAGCAACAGGTAACGCCTAGACGACGTTTTTCTTCCTGGGCTGCAGTAAGTAGATCAAGAGGTCGTTTTGCCCCTTGTCCCCGAATATGGGTAATATGTTCTCATACAATGTTGCTCCAATCTGACCTAGCTGGCGAGCGATCCCAATTCGCGACAGAGAACAAGACAGCAACCGAGCGTACCTTTGTTCGCTTCTTCTCCACCAAGCACGGAAGTTTAAGGATAACTGTAGGTCGGTGGCTACCTAAGGAAACTCCGATTCGATCCGCCCCCCGGCTGGGAGGCATCTACCTCATCCCTGCAAGCACAAGAATCCACTATACTCAAAGAATGTGCTGACTTCGCAGGACCACTTGCTCTTATAGCACAAGCTCCACATACTCGATCTTACTCTCCCTGATATGACAATCCTCCGCAGTCATATGAAGCTGACTTAGAGTATGATGATGAAGAAGAATTTCAGAATGCTATTGCTCTTATTAGCCAACAGTTCAACCGGCTACCCCTCCTTCTTTTCGTAAAAATCAGCAGTTCAACAAACCTCCTTTCAACTACAACTTCAACCCTCAGAATAATCATTCTCGATATACCAAAAATCCTCACCCACCACCGCAACCTCAGACCACTCAACCCAAAGAGGCACTGAAGCCCATCAATTCAATAGACTCCGGTACCTCTTCAAAAGATAAAAGTGACGTTGTAATTTGTCACAAGTGCAACAAGGAGAATCACTTTTCAAAAGACTGCAAATCTAATATAGTGAAAGATAGAGCATTCTACCTTAGAATGGCTCAAGAATTGGAAGAAAAAGAAAAAGCAAGGGCATACATAGCCAATCTAAAAAGGGACCATCAACTTTGGTCATCTGGAGATGAAGATGAAGACATCAGCAACGTCAAGGGAAAATGCAAGATTTGCATGCTGACAACTGCGGATGATGATGAGCCTACAAAGCTTGAAAAGAACTACTGCTACATGGAAAAGGATGGGACTCTAAGCATCGTCGAACAGGTAAAACTCATGATTCAAACTCTAAATTATAGCATGCATGACTGTCAACCATTCATAGCCAATCTTAATGACACATGTGCTGCCGTCCTTACATACTATAACAAAGCTCTAGATGAGAAGAACATAGCGTCCCAAGAGATGTTTCACGTAAGAGGACGACTGGACAACAAAAGACTCAAAGTAGCTATGTTAGAAAAGGACGTAGAGTTACAGAAAGATGCAAGAATGTTGAGTGAAACACAATTAAAAATAGCTTTGAACCAAAGAGACTTAGCTCAGAGTGATATTGTACGTTTAAATCTTTTATTACGAAAATTGTTCAATGAAAGTGAAGCTATTGAAAATCTTGTGAAAAATGGAACCGTAGTAACACCTATAATTGGGGTTGGTCCAATGGATATCCTACCGCAAAGGATTCCTCACCCCGGTTTAACAAAGATCGACTTTATGTCCCTCCTGACCGAGAGTTCCATTTCCCAGTCAATGACAAAACCTTTCCCGAAAACATCAGAGCTCACTTCGGTAGACTTCATAACCTAAGTAACAATTATGTCATTGAGGAAATTATGCCTGAATTTTCCGGTCACTCAAGTGATCAAATCCCTATTTGTGGCACAATTTATCCCAATTCTCAGAGTTCATCAGTTGTTGATGAGGAAATTGTCATAGAAGGCCCCGAAGTCTCAATGGACTTTCCAGCCCTACCCTCAGACCGCAGTGTCTCTCACTGCAGTCATGGACTACAATCAACCCATTTGCCTATCATCAAGTGTTCCACAGAAGTCTCAACTCAGAATTATTCTGCGGTAGTCAGATCATCCTTACCGCAGTCCCCAGTCAAAAGCTCAGTAAATCTTCAGCCAATTCATCATGAAATACTCATAGAAAACTTTGAAGTAGGTCAATGCTCTCAAAATCCTGAATCTTCTAATTCGGATGAATCTAGCCCTCATTTTCAAAAATTATCAAAGGTTTCAAGGAAACCGCTACTGAACATCAATGACTGCGGTTCTCCAGAAACCGAGGTTAGAAAGGCTTTCAAAGAGGAAATTCGATCCCGAGGCAAAAATCGGGAAATTTTTTCAAACAACAAAAAACATGTCAGAATTCCAAAATCTAAGAGTCCAGAAAAGTTTGTTCTTTCACATTTTCTTTCAAAAAACTCTTCAATCAAGAAAACAAACGAAAAGAAATGTACAGTTTCTACAGCCATTTCAAAACATCTGACACAACCCAAAAGAAAGTAAAGTCTTTTCGAAGCAATGGTTTTCAAATCTATTCCTCAGATGACCCAAAATGGAAGGGGATTTTACCAACTCCAATACTTTTAAAATAACATCAAAGTTTTAAGAAATCTCTCTCCAAAAGATCTACACATGCTCCCACTTCTGCAAAACGTATTTTTGTCAAATACCAACAACCCTACTGTCAGATCTCACCTCTCTCGGACTGGTCACAAGCCTACCTCTTCATTAAGACCGCTGACCAAACAAAGTGTCAAGGTAGATGACAATATTTCTACATGTCAGTGTAGTTGTCAAAGAAGTTCATCTCATGTCAAATATGGTTCTTTTCAAAAACCTCGTAACTTTTCTAAATCTCGCAACACTCCAAAAATTCACAAACACCCAAGACTAGGCCTAAAAGTTGACACGAAACCTGTCCCTGCAACCTCGACTCGTGCATCCATAAAAAATGATCTGTAGCCCCGGGCTCCAAACTTTTTTGGATGCCTAAACTAACCGTGTAATTCTCAGGCGTTGTGCAAGGAGGAACAAGAAGAAGAATGGTTAATCGACAGTGCCTGCTCCTTGCACATGACCGGAAGGTTAGAATACCTTCAAGACTTCAGGCCAATCAGCAATGGTGGAAATGTCACCTTCGGTAACAATGCAAATGGCATAATCTGAGGTTATGGTGTTCTTACTACGGGAAACTTTTCTATTCAAAAGGTTGCTTACGTAGAAAGCCTTAAACACAATCTCATAAGTGTAGGCCAACTATGTATAGCAGGCCACACAGTTGAATTTGACAATGAATACTACTACATAATGACAAGTGATAGAAGCACATGTTTGATCAAATCCAATTCCGAAGGAACCATGTATCCTTTAGACGTCTCTCTGATCATTGGGAAACCGCAGCTCATCTTAATTTCAGATACATCAACAATCTGGTCACCGGAGAACTCATCCGAGGTCTTCCAATTCTCAAATTCAACAATGATACACTCTGTCTTGCATGTGAATGTGGAAAGCAATCAAAGGCAAGCCATCCCATGGTGATTGATTCCTCAATCTCTGAACCACTGGAACTCCTGCATATTGATATCTGCGGTCCATCTACCATAGTCAGTCTTCATCACAAAAAATACATACTGGTCATAGTTGATGATTTCACTCGTTTCACTTGGGTCTTCTTCCTAAGACTCAAATCCGAAACCCCGCAGATACTGATCAATTTTATCAAAGAAATTGAACTTCAAATCAAGTTACCAGTACGCCGCATCCAAAGTGATAATGGAATCGAGTTTACCAATCATCTCTTAAATAGTTTCTTGGTTTCAAAGGGTATCACTCACAACTTCTCAGCTCCCTACACACCACAGCAGAATCGAGTAGTAGAGCGAAGAAACCGAACTCTGGTAGAAGCAGCCAGATCTATGCTTAACTTCGCACACCATCCTCTCTACTTATGGGCCGAAGCAGTGGCCACAGCATGCTTTGTTTAAAACCGAAGCATGGTTTGCAAGCGTCTCAGTAAAACTCCTTATGAGGGCCTCAACAACCGCAAACCAAATGTCCAATTCTTCCACATCTTTGGGTGTAGATGTTTTGTGATCAACAACAGAGATCATCTTAACAAGTTCGCACCAAAGTCTGATGAAGGCATCTTTCTTGGTTACTCAACAAACAAATAAGCTTATATGGTTCTCATTAGACGCACAAGACTAATAGTCGAAAGCTTCGATGTCAAATTCGATGACTATTACGTTCGCAGCATCGCTCCATCAACCGAAACCAAAGCAATCCTGGAAAGTGATATTCCTGCCTCTTCGGGTCCATTAAACATAGTTGAAGTAAACTATGATGATCTCTTCGACCCCGTAGAGACAGCTAAGTTATCCGAAGTTCTTGTGTCCCCGGAAGCTCAACAGCAGCATGCCGACGTATCTGGTCCATCTCTATGTTGGGTTTTGGTATAATACAACATCCTATGGTGCACATACAACCCTAAATACCTTGGATCTATGTTTTCTCTATTATACATGCAAATATGAAGTTTCCAAGGTATTACCCTATACTAGCATACAAATATCATATACTACACAAGAATCTAGTTAGGATAACATACCTTATGGTGGAGCATGAAGTCTTGATGTATCTAGCCTTAAGAGCTTAGCCCCAATAGTGTGGAAGCCTCAAGTGGAATCACAACACACCATGGACAAAGGATGAACTTGAGAGAGAATCTCCATGCACCCAAAAACACCCATGAACTCCAAGAACTTCATGTGTAACCAAAAGTGGCGTTTTTAGGTCATGATGCATGTATTTATATGTGTGGTATTTCAAGAGTCATGGGTATAACCCAAATCCATACCCATGGGTTTTATGATCCATGGTTCATGTGGCCCAACTCTTTATGTATCCATATATAAACTTGGTCCAACATGGATCATAAGCCCAACACATATAAATATAACTAATTAACATAATTAGTCCCCATAGATTTAATTAGTCTCTTTTGATCACCAAATTAATTCCAAATTAATTCTTGATCAATACTAATTAACTCATATGATTTCATATTAATATATTATAACTTATAATATATTAATAAATCATATATAACATCTTCTCTCAAAAGTCCATCCTAACAAATTGTCCTGATGATATGCAACCCAAATGGACCATGCTACTCTTGGGTCAAGTACATACCAATAATAGTTATGGGCTTAGACATCTAATCCAACAGTCTCCCACTTGGATAAGTCTAAAACTATTATTGCAAGTACGACTTCATAACCCGACTAGCATTCGTAGCTCTTAAAGCCGCTGTCAAACTCTGAATAAATTAATGACGCATCCATTAGATAAGGGATCATATATTCCTCCATTCTAGATATCATATGGACTGAGACATGGATTATAATCATTCTCTCTGTCCATTTGTTGTTTCCTGATTTCCGATTTATGACGACTGACTAATTGAACAAATCAAATCCGTCCAGGCTTGGCCAAGCACTTAGGGTGTCATCACTAAATCATCGAGG